TTTATGAAGCCAGTATTACACTTATCCCAAAACCAGGCAAAGACACCTCCAAAAAGGAGAACTATAGGCCAATCTCCTTAATGAACATTGATGCAAAAATCCTCAACAAAATAATGGCAAACCGAATTCAGCAACACATCAAAAAGATTATTCACCACGACCAAGTAGGCTTCATCCCAGGGATGCAGGGGTGGTTCAACATACGAAAATCAATAAACGTAATAAACCACATTAACAGAAGCAAAGACAAAAACCACTTGATCATCTCAATAGATGCAGAAAAAGCCTTTGATAAGATCCAACACATTTCATGATAAAAGCTCTAAGAAAACTAGGAATAGAAGGAAAGTTCCTCAACATTATAAAAGCTATATATGACAAACCTACAGCCAGCATTATACTTAACGGAGAAAAATTAAAACCATTCCCTCTAAAATCAGGAACCAGACAAGGATGCCCACTATCTCCACTCCTATTCAACATAGTACTGGAATTCCTAGCCAGAGCAATTAGGCAAGAAGAAGGAATAAAAGGAATACAAATAGGTAAAGAAACTGTCAAAATATCCCTATTTGCAGACGACATGATCCTATACCTTAAAGACCCAAAAAACTCTACTCAGAAGCTTCTAGACATCATCAATAGCTATAGCAAGGTAGCAGGATATAAAATCAACATAGAAAAATCATTAGCATTTCTATACACTAACAATGAGCAAACTGAAAAAGAATATATGAAAACAATTCCATTTACAATAGCCTCAAAAAAAATCAAATACCTAGGTGTAAACCTAACAAAAGATGTGAAAGACCTCTACAAGGAAAACTATACACTTCTGAAGAAAGAGATTGAGGAAGACTATAGAAAGTGGAGAGATCTCCCATGCTCATGGATTGGTAGAATCAACATAGTAAAAATGTCGATACTCCCAAAAGTAATCTACATGTTTAATGCAATTCCCATCAAAATTCCAATGACATTCATTAAAGAGATTGAAAAATCTACTGTTAAATTTATATGGAAACACAAGAGGCCACGAATAGCCAAGGCAATACTCAGTCAAAAGAACAATGCAGGAGGTATCACAATACCTGACTTCAAACTATATTACAAAGCAATAACAATAAAAACAGCATGGTACTGGCACAAAAACAGACATGAAGACCAGTGGAACAGAATAGAGGATCCAGATATGAAGCCACACAACTATAAGCAACTTATCTTTGACAAAGGAGCTAAAAATATACGATGGAGAAATAGCAGCCTCTTCAACAAAAACTGCTGGGAAAACTGGTTAGCAGTCTGCAAAAAACTGAAACTAGATCCATGTATATCACCCTATACCAAGATTAACTCAAAATGGATCAAGGATCTTAATATCAGACCCAAACTCTTAAGTTGATACAAGAAAGAGTAGGAAATACTCTGGAGTTAGTAGGTATAGGTAAGAACTTTCTCAATGAAACCCCAGCAGCACAGCAACTAAGAGATAGCATAGATAAATGGGACCTCATAAAACTAAAAAGCTTCTGTTCATCAAAAGAAATGGTCTCTAAACTGAAGAGAACACCCACAGAGTGGGAGAAAATATTTGCCAATATACATCAGACAAAGGACTGATAACCAGAATATACAGGGAACTTAAAAAACTAAATTCTCCCAAAACTAATGAACCAATAAAGAAATGGGCAGTGAACTAAACAGAACTTTCTCAAAAGAAGAAATTCAAATGGCCAGAAAACACATGAAAAAATGCTCACCATCTCTAGCAATAAAGGAAATGCAAATTAAAACCACACTAAGATTCCACCTCACCCCTGTTAGAATAGCCATCATCAGCAACACCACCAACAACAGGTGTTGGCGAGGATGCGGGGAAAAAGGAACCCTCTTACACTGTTGGTGGGAATGTAACTAGTACAACCACTCTGGAAAAAAATTTGGAGGCTACTTAAAAAGCTGGACATCGATCTACCATTTGATCCAGCAATACCACTCTTGGGGATATACCCAAAAGACTGTTACTCCAGAGGCACCTGCACATCCATGTTTATTGCGGCACTATTCACAATAGCCAAGTTATGGAAACAGCCAAGATGCCCCAGCACTGACGAATGGATTAAGAAAATGTGGTATCTATACACAATGGAATTTTATGCAGCCATGAAGAAGAACGAAATGTTATCATTCGCTGGTAAATGGATGGAATTGGAGAACATCATTCTGAGTGAGGTTAGCCTGGCTCAAAAGACCAAAAATCGTATGTTCTCCCTCATATGTGGACATTAGATCAAGGGCAAACACAACAAGGGGATTGGACTATGAGCACATGATAAAAGCGAGAGCACACAAGGGAGGGGATGAGGATAGGTAAGACACCTAAAAAACTAGCTAGCATTTGTTGCCCTTAACGCAGAGAAACTAAAGCAGATACCTTAAAGCAACTGAGGCCAATAGGAAAAGGGGAACAGGTACTAAAGAAAAGGTTAGATCAAAAAGAATTAACCTAGAAGGTAACACCCACGCACAGGAAATCAATGTGAGTCAATGCCCTGTATAGCTATCCTTATCTCAACCAGCAAAAACTCTTGTTCCTTCCTATTATTGCTTATACTCTCTCTACAACAAAATTAGAGATAAGGGCAAAATAGTTTCTGCTGGGTATTGGGGGGGGGAGAGGGAGGAGGTGGAGTGGGTGGTAAGGGAGGGGGTGGGGGCAGTGGGGAGAAATGAACCAATCCTTGTATGCACATATGAATAATAAAAGAAAAATGAAAAAAAAAATAAATAAATAAGTGAGTATTGATATAAAAAAAAGAAATAAATATGCTACACTCACATTAAAAAAAAATAAATTAAATAAAATAATAAAAAAAATTTTTAGTGGCACTGGGGTTTGAACTCAGGGCCTCACACATACTAGGCAAGTGCTCTATCACTTGAACCACACCCCAACCCCAAACCCTCACATTTTAGAGGTGAGTAAATCCAAGCTCAGGAAGGTTAGGTGACTTGCCCAAAGTCATATAACTAGTTTGAGAAAGAGCTAGAACCTTAAAGTTCTTATTTCTTGACTCCTAGACCATTGCTCTTTATAATATTCTCCTATGTATAGAAGTTTTAAAACCTGGTATTTAATATTTTGATACAGAACTGGCAAGAATTACACTCATAGGTTGGTGGCACTGTCGAGTGGTAGAGTGCCTACCGACCAAGCATGAGGCCCTGAGTTCAAGACTCCAGTACCACAAAAATATTGAAATTAAAATAAATTAATTTTAAAAAGATTTATACTTGCTACTTTACATAACAATTTATTGACAATAGTTCACATGAAAGGATTCAGTAACTATATTAAGCAAAAAGTTCCAGGGACTATAGGTATGACTCAAGAGGTAGAGCACCTGCCTAGTAAGAACAAAGTCCTGAGTTAACCTCAGTATTGACAAAAAAAAAAAAAAACAAAGAAAAGAAAAAAGCTCCCAGCACCATAAAAGAGAAAACAGTTAAGTATACTAAAGTCAAGGAACTGAAACCTGCCAAGTGCCATCAGCTCATGCCTATATTCCTATCTACTCAGAAGGCAAGGATCAAGAGGATTATGGTTCAAAGCCAGCCCCGGGCAAATAGTTTGAGAGACTCTATCTCGAAAACACCAATACAAAACAGTGCTGGCGGAGTGCTCAAGTGGTTGAGTATCTGCTTAGCAAGAATAAGGCCCTGAGTTCAACCCTAAGTTTCAAACCCTAGTACCAAAAAAACCAAAAGAAACCAAAATGTAAATTTGAACAAGAACTCATCTCTTATATAACAGAACAATTAAAAATTCAGAATTTGATGCAATAAGATTATAATGCATAAAGACACCTAGAACATGGAAAACATACACACACTTGCTATAATTTTCCACTTTAAATTCATAAGCTGTTGCAGTTTTCCTGCCTTTGATATTTTGATTTCTATTTTGATTCAGGATAACTGGTAGAGATGTATATTTTATGATTACATATCACCCTGAGTTTCATAACTGGATTTTGTATGAAATATAAACCTAAAAGTATCCCTTAAAAATAATCTGAGACTAATATTTTGAACCTTTCAGGAAAAGATATAAGCCATCGCACTAAGAATGAAGAGGGCACTGATGACAGTGGCAGCTCGTAAGTAGGACATGTTTCTGTTAGGTATGCAAATCTAGGCCACACTGATTTTGGCATGAGTCATTGTCCTTTTTCTGTAAATGAACAAGGAGTAAATTTTTTGGCTTTGAAGATCACAAATTCTCTTACAAGTACTCAACTCTTTTGGTTGTTCTTTTGGCAGTACTGGGGTTTGAACTCATGGTCACAGCTTCATAGGCAGGTGCTCAACCACTTGAGCCATACCCCCAGCCTTTACAACTACTCATTTCCACATTTCTGTCATGAAAGCAGCCCTGAACAGTATGTACACAAATGGACAGTGTTGTATTCCAATAAAACTTCTCAAAAGCAGACTCCCAGCAAAATTCAATTGGTGACCCTGGGTAACGGCAATAAACTCTCAGCATTAGAATGTGGCTACTTTGACAGTGGCTGTTGCCACAATAGCTACCAGCTTGTGCCAGGAAGTAGGCTAAAGCTTTATTTCTAATGTTGTAAGTTTGGTATCATACTTATTCTTCTGTTTTTGTTTTCTGGGTCGTAGGGATGGAACCCAGGTCCTTGTACGTACTAAGCATGTCCTCTACCCGGCATGTGCTCTACCCAAGTAATACCCTATTCTCATTTTTAAAAATTGGAAACAAAGGCTCAATTACTAGTCCTAGACAATATAACCACCATGCTCTCAACTGTACCACAGCATCTCTATGCAGTCATTAGCTAATCCTATTACCAGTAGTCACTTTGTCTATAATGACTAAACCATGAGAGAAGATGGCAGTCAGCTACCTTTGTACCTACTCTCTCATCTTTGTATAAATACATCGTCATATTTCCGAATATGCTTTGCCTCCTTACCTATCCATCTGAATTTTCTTCAGTGTCTCCGCAGTCATTATGGTCTGCCTTGTAGGTTTTACAAAGATAAGATCCTGAATTTTGTTAGCCTCCAGGCCTCCTTCTCTGACTTCTGGTACTGTTGTTTTTTCTTTAGCTGACAATGGAGTAGCAGCTACTCCCCATGTATTTGAGACCATTGGAGGTTTCTCTTGGTTATTACTTTGCTAAGAAATAAAGGATGTTTAGAAATATTTTATAAAACTGAAAAGACAATACTCTAAGAAAGTGGGCCTGCGTCTAAACTTTTAAACTTCATTTCTCTGACTTATATTCTATGCTCCAAGAAAATGCGCCACATCAATCCTTATGTCTTGGCATTTTGTGTCTTCCTAGCTTCACAGAACATTCCTTCTCACTATCATTTTTCAGTTTACTACCAGATAAACTGTAAGACTCAGATCAAAGGTAAAATTTGAGGCTGAGGGTGTAGCCCAGTGACAGAGCTGGGTTCAATCCCACCACAGAAAAAAAGGAAAATTCTTTGGGAAATATCTTTGTTAGCAGGCTTTTACCATATTATAAATATTTGTAATATATCAATATTAGTTTATGGGTTCTGTGAGGGAAGAGACACTATCATAGAGAAATGAGTTCACTTCAAATTCTTTTTGGAGCAAGACTGGATATTAAATAAATGTAGCCATCTTAATAGCCTCATTGCTTAGAACAATGATATATGAGAGCCTGTACTGTATTTATACTGATTCAACCTTGGGCTTTCTTGACTGATGCCAAGTGTTAGAAGAGGATATTTTACTTCTGTACTTTGAGCTATGCCCATTTCACTCCATCAATTGAGGTGGTAATTATGGTGGCCGTTCATCTGAGATGAAGGTGCTATTTCTCAAGTTAAACTTAATGACACAGGTACTATAAATTATAGATAAAAAGGAAAGAAAGCAGAATGAAATAGTGGTGAGTGTGCTTACTAAGCTGGTGCTTTGTTTTCGCTCAAATTGAAGTGGCATGATATAGTTTAGAATAGAGAGCTGGTCCATGGTGTCCTCCAGAACTGCAGAGATCCTCAGCACATCAAGAAGGGGAAGTGGCTCAATGACTTCTGGGATGACTTCTACTTTATTAGTTGTGTCTTCTTCATCTTCTTCCACAGCACTGGGTGGTTCGCCTGTCACCGACACTGTAACCTCAGAATGCCAAGTTTTTAGAGGAAGAGATGAGGCTTCCAATTCATCTCTAAGGAAATAATAAAGGAAAAATAAGCCAGTGATCAATGTTTAAGCATTACTTAAACTCAAAAGCACAGGCAGCATGTAATTTGCCTCCTGTGAAGCTCATGTTGTCATAATATAACCTAGATTTGTTTTTTAAAAGTAGGACTTTGCATAGAATTCTGCTAAATACCTTCTACTCTGACCAACCAAAGGTAAGCAATTTGCTGTTTCATAAAGATATGTAGTCCATGCTATTTGACTATGCTTAATCAATTTGAATTTCAGCCAAAATTAACTTTGTTTCCAAGAAACATCTTTAGATGCTAACAAAAACTGTCTCATGATTACTAAAAGACAGAATGTGGTAGCTAGCCTTCAAATAATCCTTTGTGGTGTTTATTTCCTTGTGTAGCTTCCCCCATGTTGGACAGAACTAACCAAAAGGATATTGTGGGGATAACAGAGTATGCCTTCCAAAGCTAGGTGACAAAAGACATTGCAGGTTCTACCTTACTCTTTCATAATCTCTCACTCTGAGGGAAGCTGGCTGCCTTGGCATGTGGACACTTAAGCAGTCTTGGGGAGATGTCCCTGAGAGTGAGCAACTACAGGCCTCTTGCCAGCGAGCAGCATCAATTTGCCAGCTGTGTAAATGAACCATCTTGGAAGTGGATCTTTGAGCCCCTGACCAAATCTTCAGATGACTTTAGCCCCTGGCCAACTTCAACCTTATGAGACCCCAAGCCAGATCATTCAGATACACTGCTTCTCACAGAAACTGTGTGAAATAATAAAGATTTATATTTGAAATCATTACGTTTAAGGCAACTTGTTACACAGCAATAGATAAGTAATACACAGTAATTTAACAGACAATATAATTTAAAAATATATATATACAAAATAAACTGGGATTTTGAACATACTCTTCCATCTTTCTTGAGTTTGTTACCCTCGTGGTATCCCTATAATCTCACAAAAACAGTCACCTAAAATTGGAAGGAAAAACTGATTAGTTTAAGGGAGTGCTGAATGATGTCTCATGTTTTTTTTTAATGCCCTTTCATGAAGAGAAAATTACAGAACTATGGCTGTGGCTTATCCCCAACGTTTGCTTAGTAGAACAGCCCCAGAGATGAGAGCCACTGATACTACTGGGCTTGGGCCCATTAAGAAATCAGCGTAATTATTGGTCCTCCCAAACTGAAGATACCTCTATTCTTCATGCCTCTTCTTAAGGTAAATTAATGTCCAAGATGGTTTAAGTACACTTCATTGTATTCTGACTTTAAATTGGTTATCTCTAAAGGACTGACTTATTTTTTATTATTCTTATTACCGTATTTAATTAAATGACTCCTTTACCCTGATCTGACCGATAACAGAATTTATTATGCCTGGAATTAGAAGGAGAATTGAGACTACATTCAGAAAACTGTATTAATCCTGGAAATCAGTTTAATATTGATATCAAGGTGTTACCCCTTACAGTCAGGCATGGTGATGCACACCTATAATCCCAACACCTGGGAACTGGAGACAAGAGGATCACATGTTTGATGCCACCCTGGGCTACAAAGTAAGACCCTGTCTTAAAACAAACAATAAACTTAAATCCTTTCTGCTTAAATAAGCTTTACTAGTGAAAATAGTTACAGAGAACTTTGCTTCCTATTGAATGATATAGGAGATGATTAAGTCTCTGGTGCGATTTTGTCCATGATAAAGCGACCCTGAGTGGAACGTACAAGTATGTTTCATGCAACAAAAATTTTATATGCAAAAACTTAGAAACATAGGATAGAATCTTATATAAACTGAAAAAAAGAAACTCCAAAGTAGTCATTTATTTTTGTTGTTTCAGGGACAGTACTGAAGAAGTAGCATGATATTGACAAGAATTTGGTTCTTTTTTTAGGTTGTTTGTTTTTCCATTTTTAAGACTTGGGCACAGGTAAATGCACTTCACCTAGACAAAACAGAACCTAGTGCTTATGTAGAATCCAGTGCTTTTATGCTGCTCGGGTTTCTAATTCCTCATTCCAGAAACCAGGGAGCCATTCTTGCCACCTCCTTCATCTTGGCACTCACATGCTTCCCTGCCTCACCCCCCAATCCAAACCACCACCAAGCCCTGTGGATTTTACCTGTCGTATCCCCCAAACCATGCTGGACCTAGTGTTTCTTGCTTGGACCACTCTCACAGCTTCCAAACTGAAAGAGAACATTTTAATGAAAAGTGATCTTTTTTTTTTTTCTTTTTTTGGAGGGGAGAACTGCAGTTTGAACTTAGGGCTTCATACTTGCACAGCAGTCATTCTATTACTTGAGCCACACCTCCAAGTCCATTTTACTGTGATTATTTTGGAGATGCTGGTCTCATGAACTATTTGCCCGTGCTAGTCTCAAACCTTGATCCTCCCTATCTCAGCCTCCGAAGTAGCTAGGGTTATACGTGTGAGCCACTAGCACTCAACTGAGAAGTGAGCTCTTAAAATTGAAAATATGGTCATATCTCTCCTTAGAACCCTCCAGTGGTTTCTCATTGCCTTAGGAAAGGAATTATTAACTTGGTTAAGAAGGTTTACATGATCTAGCCCCCGTTGTTCCTCTCCAGATCCTCTGACACTGCCATTTCCTTGCTCTCTTGCCTTCAGCCTCAGTCTTTCTATTCTTCAATGGAATCATGCTCCCGTCCAGCTCAGGGTCTTTGCCTATGTTATTCTTTCAACTTGAACCACTCTTCTAGGTCTGGGGGTGGGGTGGCTCAAATGATAGAGCTTTTACCTATCAAAAATAAGGTACTGACTTCAAACCCCAGTACTGCAAAAAATAAATACATAATGGTTGAACTAGTCCCAGTGATCCATTAGATATCAGCTTAAAAGAGTAGCATTTTTCTAGGTATCTGCCATCTGCATTTATAAATCTAATCTCCATCATTTTTTGTGCCTTAACCCAATATGGAATCCATCAATGAGAGAGTCCAGAAAGTCCCAAGTATAGGAGAGTCAGATCAACTATTTTCCTCCTAGTTTCTAAGTGATTGGCTATTTTCCTCTATTGAAGGTTACAGTTCCTGTCAGGCAATCCTTTTCCCAACCTTCTCTCAATCTCCTTCTCTCTCGCTCTTGCTCTCACTCTTGAAACTACTTCTTCTCCATATACCTGGACACTAGATTATCTTTTCGTAATTTCATTCCTGCCTACACTTTTCTACACTTTTCTCTACACTTTAGACTCTCACAAACAAAAGTTTCATAAAACAAATTATCCATATAGTATATGTATAATATATTCTGTCATTTTTAATTCTATTGTATTTGTTCAAAAGTATTGTGATCCTGACCTACCAATAAACCATCACCTGCAGTTTGAAAAATGCCTCACATGACTCTTCTCCAAGTGTCCCTGACTCATCAGACTGGATCAAGATTCTTCTGTTTAAGCACTCAGGGCACTCTTTATTTTCTTACAGATTTCTCTTTATTATTTGTAATGTTTATGTCAGTTGCCTCTGAAGACTGTTAAGTTCCATGAGAGCAGGAAATCATAACAATGATTCACTATTTTACCCTAAGTTTCAATGATGCTCTATAACTAATACTTTGAGGAATTAATCTCTAATAGTGAGATTTCAAGTACATTTCTGGGACAGAAAAAATTGATGGGATAGTGGGTTATAAGGTATGTAACTCTATCTTGATGTATTTAAGAAAGCATCTGATTTTAAATGTAGCATACATACATATATTTCATAAAACCTTGGGGGCAATCCTTTACTGCTCTCTTATTCCTTATCTGTCAGCTTTACAGTTAAAATATATTCAGAATTTCAATACTTATCACCCCTGTCTACACACCATCATCTCTCATCAGGACCATTTCAGTGGCCTCTTAAGGGATCTTCTTGCTGTTCCCCTGCCTCCCTTCAGCGTTGATACAGTGACTCTCTTAAATGGATGTCAACGAAGTCTCTCTTCTGTTCAGAACCCTCAAATAGCTTCCTATCTCAGAGTAAAAGAGGGCTCATTACAATGGCCTTTCTGCTTGATTTTTCTCCATAGAAGTTATCACCTATGTGCTATATATTTTACTTGCTCATCCTCTTGCTTCCTCTAGTAGGATGTAAGGTCCACAAGGGCAGAGATTTTTGTTTATTGCAGTGCCCTCCAAACCTACAATTCTGGGTACGCGGTAGTCATTCAATAAACTACTTTAATAAATGCACGAATAAATCCTTAGGACGATCTAAATAAATGAACAGTAAATGAATCCATAGGGCGGACCAAATAAATGTGTGTAATAAGGAAATGTAAATTTCTGACGTCCACTAAATCCGTATTCGCCTTTAGAATCAAAAAACGGGATAAGAAGTCTTGTGCGAGGCCCTGAGTTCAAATCCCAGAAAAGCCAAAAAAACCTCTTAAGTCTCCTCTCTACCCACCCAGTTTTTCTTCCTTTTTTTTTTTCCTCCTTTCTTTTCTTGAGACAGGGTGTCTCTAGGTTGCCCAGGCTGACTTCGAACTCGTTCCGCCTCAGCCTCAACCTCCCCAATACCTGACACTACGGGCGCAAGCTCCCAAGCCCAGCTTTTGGGTCATTTCTTGAAAGAAAGAAAGGAGCAGATGGGAGGAAAGAAGCAAAGGGCGGAGGCAGGAGAGGTTAAGAGAAGGAAGCGCTCCTCCTGCCTTCGTGCTCCCGGTCTTTCTCCTGAATCTCCGTTCGTCCAACTTCTGTGCTGGGGAACGGAAAGACAGTACTGAGTTCGCGAATCAAGGTCAGCTATCCGAAGCGAAGGAATGTCCTTTCGTACAGGTAAAGACCTTTTCCCGCGACCCAGGACAGCCAAGCCAAGCTAAGGTGTTGTTATGGCAACTTGCAGCCTTGAGGGACCTTTATCCTCTCCTCCCTTAGCTGGCTACTATTTTGCCTGCCTTTTTCCCCCAAACACTACATGTTCCAGACTACAAAGATGAAATAATTACTTAGGATAAGAATGGTTTTAAAAAAAGTATTCTTGAAAGTGGCTTGTTTCACTCCGAAAACGACTTCTGAGTCTTGTTTTTCTGGCGGTTATGAAAAATGCCTAAATTGGGGGCGGGGCGGAGTGTTTATCCCACAAGGCCACGCGGCGGGGTCTAGCTTTCCTTTTTCCTCCATCTTGGAGCCTGTGGAGGTGGGTGACTTCTCTGCTGCTTAATTTTGGGGGCAAATAATGGGGGTGGGCTTTTCCAGATCCCTCGGCTAGGCTCGGGAACTCTGCCAGGCACTGGTTTCTATGAGTTCCAGGAAGGGAGATGATAGGATGGTGGGGATGTGGGACTGATGGTGCTCGGCTCCTGCCATCCGGAAAACCGGTGTCCCAGGAATCGGACCTGATTCCTGGGTGTAAGGGGAGGGAAATAGGTATATTTTATCATTCTGTACTTGCTCATCCAGCAGTAGTTCTTCTAAGCTTTTTTTCCGTTTTGCTTCCGTTCTAAATCTGGTTTTGCTTGTCTGTAATCTCTTTTCTCATCTTTTCGCCCGCTAATACATAAAAGCTAGGTTTTCTGTGTGCTGCTTTGACTACTGCGTAAATCTTCGTTTGTCAATGGGTTTTGGCTAATAGCAGCGTGAGTTTTCTCAGGGTTTCGTATTGGAGGTTCTATGGTTTAGATCTTTACTGTGTAGTCTAGGGCCACCTAGTTTGCGCCTTCACTTTGAAGTTTGCTTGGGTGTGTTCTGAGGTTTGAATCTCTTGCTAAGTTCTGTTCATGTACGTAGCATACGTTTCCCCATAATCAGGTGAAATGCTAACCAAAAAGAAATATGCCTGTCACAGGTTTAAGAAATGGGGAGGTGATAAGGTGAGAAACTTGCATGACTTTAAATTCTTTTTGTTCTAGGGCCTGCTGGGAACAGGACTTCTAAAAGGCAAATATGTCTGGAAGGTACGCCTTTTAAGTATAGTTTTTCTGTTTTATAATGTATGTGAACCAAAATGAGAGTTTAAAACCGGTGGGAAAAAGTTGCCTGCTATAGATAACTTTGGGTGGGGGTCCTTAATAATGAAATATAGTGGTGGTTTGTTGAAAGTAAATGAAACCTTTTACCAACTTACCTTTAATATTTATCTTGTGTATTTTAGGCTATGGTGCAAGGCCATTTTTGCTGGCTATAAGCGGGGTCTCCGGAACCAAAGGGAGCACACGGCTCTTCTTAAAATTGAAGGCGTTTATGCCCGAGATGAAACCGAATTCTACTTGGGCAAGAGATGTGCTTATGTGTACAAAGCAAAAAAGTAAGCTTATAATTTATGCTTTGGAATTTTTTATTTTTTATTCTTTGGCAGCACTGGAGGTTGAACTCAGGGCCTCACATTGCTAGGCAGGCACTCTCACCACTTGGGTCAGGCTGCCACCTTTTTATTGAAAGGATAAAAGGTGTTGGTAAAATAATAGATTGCTATGGTAGGGGACGTTAAGGAACTTCAAGAGAGAATATACAAAAGGTTGTTCTTTTGGGGATGCTAAATTAATGTAACTAAGCATTTATGAAAATTACTGTCTTTAATTGCTTCAAGGAGGAGATAATTCCTTATATCATGATTCTCTTTAGCAGTTTATAAAGTACTTCTTGTGGGCCTTAATTCATTCTGTTTGTTTATTTTGCAGCACTTGAGAATTGAACTCAGGGCCTTGGGCTTCCATTCTTGTTTTTGTTTTGAGATGGTCCTTTTGTATGAATGCTTTACAATGTAATGTCTCGAATACTCTCTCTTATGTCTGAATACTCTCTCTTATGTGTCGAATATTCTCTTAGGCCTTGTGCAGCTAAACATGCCCTCTACCACTGAGCTATGCCCCCTGTCCCAGAACACTGGTTCTTAATCCTGGGTTCTTAACCCACTTTAAACCAATTAAAATCTCTGGGGAAATACTTTAATCCTGTCCTTGCTTTTCTCCTTCAGCCAGAGTATTCCTCTAAAATTATAAGTTTGGTCATGTGTATGTTGCTTAAAACCAAATGGTTGGTTTATCTTGTTCAATGATAGCCAAACTCATCAAGGAGCCCCGCACCTATGCATTTGGGAGAACTACATATTTCTCCAGCTAGGATGTGCCTCTTGAGTGTCAGCAACTAAAACCTGAACACCTTCAGGTTTTTAGGACATGGTCTTCATTCAGCCTGTAATCCTCTGATGAAAGTGCATGCCATACTGTAGGTACTGTATAGGTTCAATTAATGGCATTCCAGACATTTTTAAGTTTCTTGGGTGATTCTAAGTGGGTAGCCAGGGTTTAGAGTTACTTGGGGTCCAGAGGTCACCTTAATTTGTGTCAGTTGTATTGGTTGCCTGAGTGCCTTTTCTATCCTTTTAAAATCAGCAACACAGTGACTCCTGGTGGCAAACCAAACAAAACCAGAGTGATCTGGGGAAAGGTAACTCGTGCCCATGGAAACAGTGGCATGGTTCGGGCCAAGTTTCGAAGCAACCTTCCTGCTAAGGCTATTGGACACAGGATCCGTGTGGTAAGTACAATTGGAACATCTAATTCTTGGTGTGCTAAAAGGTCAGTGAAGGGAAAGTGTTCAAATAAATTGTGCCTAAATTTCAGATTTTGTAAACGCTGTCTGAGGGAATGACAGAATTTGAACAGTGTTTTGTTGTTTTTTGATGGTTTTCTCTTTTGCGGTATTGGGGCTTAAACCACACCTTGAGCAGCACCGGACCTTTTGTGATGGGTTTTGTCCAGGTAGAGTCTTGTGAACTATTTGCCTGGACTGGCCTGGAACCTTGATCCTCCTGATCTCTGCCTCCTGAGTAGCTAGGATTAGAGGTGTGAGCCACCTGCACCCAGCTGAATAGTTTTTTTAGCAGAAATATTTACTGGATACTGAAGTGATTGTTGGACAGTAGAAATTCAGCACACTTCTGTCTGCCATAATTGTTAATGTTTTACCATCTATCCTGTCAGTCTTGATAAACTAGCTGGTATTAGCTTATTTGGTACATGAAGAAAACACGAAACATGGTGGTGTTCCTATAACTCAGGACTTTGGCCCAAGTCTTTGAAGCCAGATCCTGAGGTTTTTATTCAGTTACAGTGCATCTTTACCCCAGAATCTGGAGGCCATGGAGGTACTGCTTACTCTGCTGAGCAAGTGTCACTTGAAAATACAAGATTAATGTACTTTCAGTACTTGTTTTTTAGAGTGTTGGTTCTTGGGCTGGGATAGAGCACTGTCTAGCATGTGCAAGGCTCTGAGTTCAGTCCCAAAGTGCTGGTTCTTAAGCATGTTCATCTAGAAACTGAATGGTACAAAAACTTGGTTCCCTTAGAACCAGGATATAAACCAGGGACGAGTAATGGTAATGAATTTTCCTGTTGTGAGTAATCAGTAATACTTGTAAACATTGTGTATAACATTCACCTAATGTTTTTTGTCTTTTCCCTCCAGATGCTGTACCCCTCAAGGATTTAAACTAAAGAAAAGTAAATAAAGTGAATTTGTGCTCTTCTGTTTTTTAAGTGGTCTTAAAAAACTTGTCCTAAATTCAGTTGCTATATGGTGGAGGTTATCCAGCATTTTTAGAGTACAAGGAAGTACTTTATTATATTATATGTAATAATATTAGAACAATGACAAATTTACAAAATACATATCAGCATATTGGATAGAATAAATATACTTTGAGGATTGTGGAAAGGTAGCTTTCTGGGTTGGCAGAGTGGCTCAAATGGTCGAGTGCCTGCCTAGCAATTGTGAGGCTCTGAGTTCAGCGCCACCAAAAAGATTAATTAATTAAAAACATGACTTTTTTTTTTTTAAAAAAAACTTAAATCTTGGACTGGGGGCTGTGGCTTGACCCATAGAGTTCCTGCTTTGCATGCACACAGCCCTGACTTCACAAATCCTTACACCATCTTCTGATGGTATGTACCTTTCAATAAGGATTGGTTGGAAAAGTTAAGAGTAGAAAATGGAATTGGGAGGAATATGATGGTGTTTCAACTCATTCAGATAGGCTAGGATGAGATACCCTTGGGATTTGTGATTGGGCAAATCATTTCTCAGACAAGTATCTACCAATACCCTGTGCTTTCACCTAAGAAACACTGTACAGTATTAAAATACTTTAGCATATTACAAAGGAAAGTAAGCAGGGTTCCAAAATACTTTAAATCATGAGGATTTGCCAAAAGTAAAAGGTGAAATAAGGCATTAGTTTGGGGAATGGTTGTAGGCTTTTGAATTTTTGAGATGGTCTCATGTAGCCTAGGATGGTTTCTCACTTGTGGTCTTCCTGCTTCAGCCTCCCTGGACTTGATAGTAGATTGTTAGGATTTTTTGTGGGGAGTTGGTACTGGGGTTTAAACTCAGTGTTTTGAGCTTACTAGGCAGGTGTTATACCAATTGAGCTGTACCTCCAGCCCTTAGTTGTAGATTTTTATTGTTGGCCCTGTCTTTCCACTGAAAATGTCTACAGGAAACTGGAGTTTGCCATACTGAACCCCTTCTACAGTTACAAAAGTAAACAAAAATGACTAGCATATTAGGAACGTGTTGGGCAAGCAAAGACCTTTGAAGAAGGGGAAGGAAAGTGATGGCAAGAGGAGCACTTTCCAGTTTTAGAAAGGTTTGATCAGTGGTTATTGCTTTGGGTGTGGGGGGGAGTGGTACTGGGGTTTGCAATTTGAACTTGACCTCACACTTGCTAGCAGACACTCTTAACCATATCAGCCACTCTGCCGGTCCTTTTTTTATGTTGGGTATTTTTGAGATGAGGTCTCTCAGACTGGCTTCAGACCAAGGTCCTCCTGATTTCTACCTCCCAAGCTAGGATTACAGGCATGGGCCAGGGCATCCAGCTTGGTTGCCTTTCTTGGTGTCCCATGTTTAATGGGAATGTTTGGGACTACCGCTCAGTTATGCTCTCTTCAGATCTGAGCTGTGCATTTCATTTACTGAAACCTTTAGGAAAATGAATTTGGAGAGTCTACATTCAAGTGTCCACAACTGCCAATCTTGGGCCTACTCCAGGGAGATTTAGTTCTTCCATCAAAATACCAACAAACTAGATCTACCTACAGTGTTGCACCAATTATAGATGGGATCGGTAGTGTAGTCAGGGATAGATGCATGTAATAAACTTGGGTTCTTGTATCAAAAGTACAAAATACACATAAAGGGAGAACATGGCAGATCAAAGTAACATACATGCTGTTGACATATGTAATAGTCATGAAGGGTGACCACGTTAGAATTTTAGTGGCAACCCAGCATAAACTGAAGAAAAAGAGGCTGCATTTTTAAAAGGTTTTTGGGCACTGAAGTAGTCTACATACTGAGAATTATTTTTAAAAAATGATGTAGAGACTTTAAGGATAACATCCCTGGCTTTGGTTGAATGTGTAATTGTTGCAAAATTGGAATTCCCAGTGGTTTTTTTTTTAAGGGGACCAAGGTGAGTTCAACTGAGCATGATGCCCTGAATCCTATTCCTAGCACTGTAGGGAAAAGCTTGAGTTTGAGGAATCTATAGGATGTTGAGCTGTAACTGCCCAGGAAGGCAGGTGTGTTTTAGACCTGGGTTAGGTATGTAGAGGAGAGGAAAAGAATGTTCCATACCTGTAACCTCTAGGAGTTAAGTGAATGTGATTGAGAGGGATAGAAGGCAGGGCTTGGGTGTGAATAAAGGAGGCTTTTGAGGCAAAACAGTGAAAGGAGGGGCTGAGCATTCTTAGGGTAAGGAGTAATTTATAGGGGGTGTGGCTAAATGGGCCATGTGCAAGTGACAGATTTTTCTGCTCCTACCTAAACCAAGTCAAAGATAACTCTAGCATAACTGCCATTGGAAGAGTCCCATCCGTCACAAATGAACTCTTGTTACTGTGCTACTGAAACCTTTTCCAGTATGACACTACTGTTAAAGCTAAGAAACTTTCTTCGTGGTCTTAAACTGGGAAGAGCATGTATTGAAAATGAAAAACTTGGTTCAGAATCCCAGTAGGTCAAGCTACTTTTACTCACGTGTAAAGTGATGTTTTAAAGACAAGGACCACATAGGGGTGCACACCAGCTACTTTGAAGGCAGACGAAGGAGGATCCCTGACTGAGGTGTTCTGCCTGAGACCTTATCTGAAAAACTAAAGCTTAAAAGAGTTTACCTAGCAAAGAAGAGGCTTTGAATTCAATCCCCAGTACCACCAGGAAGAAAACACCATCATGCTCTTAATTTGAGTACACAATCTCTACCAATACGTTGTGAAGATTTTTTTTTTCCTTTCCTACCACTACATTCTCTGGTAATTTACAATATTCTCTGTTCCTGTTGAATGATATTCCAGTTAAATGTTTTCAGTTCCTGGTGTATGTTGTGTGCTTTTTCAGTGTAGTAGTGATTCGTGGCTACAAGCTAAGGTTTGGAGTTAGTAAAATAGTAAAGAATATAACTGGTTTTTATAGGAAATAGCCTTAGTTGAGGAATGGGACTAAATTGGTGACTCGGTAAGAAAACGATTTTGCTTAACTTTTCACACAAGTCTACACTATAGTCTATACACTCTAAAATATTTTGCTTATGCCATCTGATTTCCTGGCACCTGCAAATCTGGTGAATGAAAAAGGGCTGAGAAAGTGCCTCAGTAAAGACGCGTACCACCAATCCGCCTCCGGTTAACGTCGGTTTATCTTCGGGATGAGCTGGAGGGTGGCGCTAGCCAATGGGAAAACATGGTTCCGCGGCCGGCCCTCCACCTGTCCCGAGCGGCGAGGGGCGGGGCTGGCCGGCGCGGAGGCGTCACGCGCTCCATGGTAACGACGCCCTGCCGAAGATGGCGGCCGATTGGGGTGGAGGATTCTGTAACTCTGCCTCAGGCCCGGGTCCGACCCGGTGGAGCTGGAGCGGTTCTCTGTGGGTCCAAGGCATTTTACTCCTGCTGGGCGGGCTCCCAGCAAGCGCCGCGTCTGTTTCCGTCGCCCTGAGCAGTTCGCCTCCTTGCCGCCACCACGTTCCTTCTGACTCCGAGGTACTGCCGAGGCGGGGCGGGAGCAGGCCCTGTGAAGGGAAAGTGATCTGTCGGGTGTCGTGCGGAAGCATGGAAAGAGGGACGGACAGGACTTTTCCGGGGCTGGGACCTGCTGTCAGCCCCTGCACGCACCCTACAGAGTGGCCGGGGTGGGCGCTCGGCATCGTCACGTCCCCGTGCTTAGTCGGTATCCTAGGGCAGTGCTGTTCAAACTTGAGCGTGCACTTACTTGTTAAAGCAGGCTGCAGACCAGCTCCCCGGCTTTCCGACACAGTCGGTCTGGCATGGATCCGCACAACTGGCACTTCAACCACTGGTCCAAAGATTTGGGAAGAAATTGTTAGGAGAGCCAGACAGGCGTTGGAGGGATAGTGCGGTTCTCTGGAAACAATTCAGGTTTATTGTCAAGTTATTCCACCACTGGGCTTGCTTTATTCCGTTCCCCTGCCTCCTTCCCACCCGGTTTCTCTCTCAATCTAAATTGTTTCGGTCTTAGTGCAAGCCTCCAACCTCAAGGCAGCCTGCTGAAACCACCTAGGCAGATGTTCTTTCCATACCTCAGGACATCTTATCTGTATTCTCTCCTGGCACTTAACCAAGTATTGCTCTGTGGTAGTGGCTTCTTTTTCAGGCATGTCTTGCTTTTGTACTTGAGTTGTAAGGTCCTTGACTTTAGGTTTGTGTTTTACGCTGTCATCCCTTCCCAGCAAACGTTTAGCAGGGAGGTGGGCTACAATAATCAGTGTTGTGTAAAGAAAGAAGGGTACTGTACCTCGGGCAGGGCTGCATGCTGTGATGGGTTCTATAGTTTGTTCTACTACTTTATCTAGAGAGATTCACTAGGAATTTTCAGGTTGGCCCAGATAGCTAAGCCTACTCATTTTTGTGATGATTTCTATTCCTAACTACATGAACCAAAATGTGGAGTTTGAGATTTGGAACCATATCATAGCTTTTGCCATGAGGCTGCATTTTGGCTGGATTCTTAAAAAAAAAAAAACCACAAAACCCTGTACTTCTGCTCTTGAATTTGAATTAAGAGAAAATACTTCAAATATAAAAATCTTTGTACTAGAAGGAACCTTCGCTATTTTCTTCTAGTGGTTGTTGCCATGATATAAATGTCCAGTTTTTTTTTCGTTTATTTATTTATATGTTTTTGTAGTGCTGAGGATCAAACTCAGGGCCTCACCCATGCTAGGCAACCCCAGCCCTCTACTGGTAGGGAAATTTTAATCTCCACAGGACAGCCCTTTGCTTTTTGGAGATGACCACTGTTAAGTTGCTTTTGTTTGTTTGTTTTGGGGGACTGGGGTTTGAACTCAGGGCTTCATGCTTGCAAGGCAGGTACTTTACCGCTGAGCCAGTAAGGCTGTTACAGAGCTGAAAGCTACCAGGTACTTACACCCACTAATTCTGTTTGTGTCTCTTGGCTGAACATAGTAGTACTTGTGATACTAAAATCAAGCTATTAAGTTCTCAAGAGTCTTCATCCTTAATAAATTTCTCTAGTTCT